AATGAAATGATGATTCCATTTGAAACATGTGATGCGATCATGATTTGGTACAAAAGTGGCATCCAGGAAAGGCCTAGCCTTTTAGGAGCAAAGATGGGCATAGCCAGGTTGCCAACACATGCATGAGAAAATTATTGAATTGTTTAAAAACAATGAAAGATAGGGAGGGATTTGGATATGTCACCCTCTATGGTGCATAACATAATTTAAAGATCCGAGGAGAGATTTCAATGGGCAAAGGGAAAGGGCGCAATTCTAAAGTGGATGACCGTGCTCTCTAATCTCTCAGATAGCACTGCATCAAGAATCGTCACTGTTCTATAGCAATATGACCACATGGGTTCAGGATTAATTTAGCACATCTGTGTCAAGCACTGCAATACATAGTTACATCCATAAATGCCACTTAAAACTGTACTGTGCAAAAAGGAAGCACTATGTCAACGGTGTCCAGAGGCGCAATCAACTGCTCTGGGCTCGGGGTATCTGAGATGGGCTATCACATGGTGGAAACATGTATTGTGGTCAGACGAATCAATATTTCAGCTCTTTTCTTTTGGAAGAAATGGACACTGTGTGCTCTGGACCAAAGACAAAAAGGATCAGCACCCTTGGCAAACATAAATTACACTTCTGTGATGGCACCATTAATGCTGAAAAATACCTAGAGATTATGGAGCAACATATGTTGCCTTCAAGACAGCATCTTTTCCAGGGATGTTCATGCATATTTCAACAAGACAAAGCAAAACCTCATACTGCACACATTACCAAGGCATGGCTGTGGAGGAAAAGGGTGCAAGTACTAGACTGGTCTGCTTGCATTCTTGACCTCTCCCCTGTAGAGAAGTATGTGGTGCATTTTGAAACACAGATTGCATCAATCAAGACCTAGGGGTGTTGCACACCTTAAGATTTGTTTGCAGGAAGAATTGGACAAAAATACATCTTTGAAGTGTTCTGAAAAGGAATGGCAACATCAATGCTTTACTGTCTCAACATTGTTTAGAATGCGTTGCAGGCATCAGAATTGAAGTGAGTGCTCAGTTTGAACAGAATAACTAATGAGGTATCACATCAAATAATGTGCTGATCTACTATTTTCAAAGTAATACAGGACACAGATGATTTACACATACTATTTTCAGTTTTAATTTAGATTTTATATAATGGGTTTAGCTTTGAATATTTTCTTCATTTAAAATTGCCATTACAATTTTCTCCAAAATGTTTTAATGGTTAGTGTATTATTTTTATTTTTCACTTTTAGTGAATTAATATGTTTACTGTAAATCAGAATACATTATTTGCTTTTGAAGAGATCATTTTGGATTGGTTCTACAGGTTTAACAGTGGCCCCACATCAATGAATGGTGCCAGCTATTGGTGGATGCCCTGTCAGTGACATGCTGCTAATAAACATGCAGATGTCATCACTCCTCATTACTGTCTTTTGGAAACTACTGTTAACATAGAAAACATTTTGAAATTTGTGTTACTTTGTTAACATTTATATGATTTATCCAATTAATAAAACTATATAAAATGCAATTAGTTTTTACAGCTAGCATTTCCATTGTCCAATTAGGCTATTTGTGTTGTGTGTGAACCTAAAGTCACTGATTAACTGCCAGTTGCTGTTTTGTGGTTTTGTGTGTGTGGGTGTGTGTGCATGCGTAGATATATATATATATATATATACCTCACACCCCAGGCACAATCTGTTTGAACAGGTCACTGTGCACCAAGGCAACCAGGCACAGGGACAGTTTCTTCCCCCAGGCCATCACTCTGATGAACACTTAACCAACGACAGTATGACAGTATGACTGGATAATAACACTCAGTGCAATACCTGTAAATATACCTCATACAGATTATAGAGATTCGTACAGGTCTCTTTAAATACTCTGTTTTTATTCCTATTTATCTCATTTCAATGAGCATTCCTTTGTCTGTCTGCCTGTTTATACTGCTTATTTTGCATTGTATGCACTGTTTGTTGCTTGTTAATACTGTTTATTTTGTTATACTACACAGCCTTATGCTGGTTTATTGTTTACTTGCCCCTTGCATGGGGATATGTACATACACATTGAGAGCCACTGGACCAGAGTCAAATTCCTCGTGTGTCTGACACACCTGGCCAATAAAGCAGATTCTGATTCTGATGCCATGGTAACCTCTCAACTCAAAGAAAAGCCTATCCATATAGAATTTATTACATTTCTTGTTTAGATTTTCTCTGCAGTGCAAGACAGAGAAATTATAGAATTTACCAGTAGAAATTTTAAGTGAAGTGTAGTGAATGATCAACTTTGTGGTAAGGTATCTAAGTCTAAAAGGTCTGTAAGTCTAAAGACTTGTAAAATCAATGCTAAAGCATACTGAAGCTGTTCTGGTGGCACATGGTATCCCAACACCGTACACACTTTATGTTGGTTTCCTTTCATCTGTCACCTATCAAAGCAGCCTGCAGCTCTCATTACAACATTTAACAAATCTGAATGCAAGAGCCTGCAGTTCTTGTTCTTTGTTATTTTGTGTGTGGCTCTATAACCCACTGTCTATAACCTACTGTCTATAACCCACTGTCTATAACCCACTGTCTATAACCTACTGTCTATAACCCACTGTCTATAACCCACTGTCTATAACCTACTGTCTATAATCCGCTGTCTATAACCCACTGTCTATAACCCACTGTCTATAACTCACTGTCTATAACCTACTCTACAACCTACTTATGTTAAATTATTTGGAGTTTTAACTTTATTGTGGGCTAATGTCTTTCAGATTTTCGGGCTGCTCCTGTTCACAGTTAAAAATGAGTACTTTGTATTTTTGTTAATACTGTTTTGCAAAGTGCATGTGACCGATGCAAAAAAAATCTTAAAATTTATCAACATAAATGTTAAACGTTGAAAGAATAAAACATTAACTGAATTCCTGATGAGTATTTTTATTTACACTTTATACTGACTGACTCACAAAGTCCCACCCTCCAGTGTGTGTGTGTGTGTGTGTGTGTGTGTGTGTGTTCTTAAAATGAAAGTGTCCTCTGGTAGCTGTCTCTTTATTTCATTAAGTATTTTAAGTGAATCACTGATCTAAAGAGCAGATACAAACACACAGAGGCTTAAATCTTGAGTCTGTTGTGCTGAACAAGCATGGAATTTTTGGAATTGTTTTGCATTTCTCTTGGTGCTACAGTTGTGGTCT